GAAACTTAAAACGTGTAATAAAATCCGGTAACGAGGTATAACGTGTAGAGATACCTATACTAAGTGCTGCGGTCGTTATATGAATTCCTAGTGCTTTAACTCGTTTAACTAAGGAGAATTTGCATAGAGATATGGAGTTGATTTAGTTAAATAGGCTCAATGAGAACTCAAGAGGAGTAAATTGAATATCGTAAGAGAATTCGACCGAACACTACATTAGTCTAGAATCTTGAATTGATAACTAAGGCGATCTTTAGGTGAAATTGTTCCGCCATAATACTTCTCGCATATTTAAATCTTTGATCTGTTTGTCTCCAATATTCTTTCATAAATTTTCATTCGTTCTAGAAATTTAGTTCTTTTAAAACATCCATATTCCTTATAATCTGAATTTAGAATTTGTTTAATTTCATCAAATAGTAGTAGGAGAAATATATCCAATACTAAAGTATAGTCTTCGTGGGAACGATAATCCGGACTCTTAGGTCCACTATATTACTTGTTACGATATCGTACACTTGCGATATAAAAATACGCAACACATATAAGCCCACATGTTTGATTAAAATCCTTACAATCTCCCACTTGTGCTATATGTGTTATCTTATAATTGTGCATTAAAGATAACTTTATGAGCACTCAGAATTTTGCTATCATTATCGAAAGTATCCCCAAACAATCCAGTCTATCAATCCTATCAACATAGGATCAAAACGGCTTTCGCTACTTATATCGTAACTAAACCCATCAATGATCATGTATATCGATATAACTGAATGGCATAGGTCAAGTATGGATGTATATAATGTAAATTACATGTGATGTGATCTTAACATGTATATTTTCAACCGATCCACTTTAATACCTTAGAGAGATCATTTTTAAACAAGTTCAGAGATAATAAACCAACAACTTTATAATCGAAAATAACTTTAACCATAAACCATATCAAAAAATGACAGTACATGTGTCTAAAATGAAAAGCAAAGAAGTACAAAATCCCACTGAAAACTAGATATCCTCAAAAGACATTACACCCATATGAGCAGTGTGCTCATGAAAGACCTTGTGTATCAATCCCTTAGTAAGTGGATTCGCAACCATGGAGTTTGTCGCGATATGCCCTATGACACATGTCCACTCTGAACTATTTCTTTAACAGCCGGAACTTGATCTCTATATACTTTGACTTCGTCGAACTCCTGTTGTTATTGGAATACAGTACTGCTGATTTATTGTCACAAAATAACTTGGGTAGTCTTTCTATACTGTCTATAATGTGCAGCCCAGTGATAGAATTTTGCAGCCATATTCCATGGTTTGATACCTCATAACACGCTATAAACTCCACTACCATGGTGAAAATAGCTATGCGTGTTTACTTAGCACTCTTCCAGGAAGTAGCACCCCCAGCAAGCAAGTAAATATAGCCTAAAGTGGATCTCCTACTATCTTGACATCCCGTGAAATCGGAATCAGAATAATCGATGATCTCCAACTGATTCGATCTCCTATATGTAAGACATGGAGTCTTTTATTTTCTATAAATACTGCATGATCCGTTTGGCTACTTGATTAGTGTGTTTTGCACACGGAGTTTATACCAATAAAGCTTCATTTGTATGTTTAATCTGTTGATTATAGAACGAATTTAATGTGTTTGTTAGTTTTGGTTGAAGGAATGTTAAAATGAAGAAAAATGGTTTTTGGAGCAAAATAGAGGAAGAATGGAGCAGCAATATGGCGCTCAAGCGCCGGAGATCAAAGAAGAATTTTCAACA